TTCCGGCAACACAGAAAGGAGAATTCTACTTAGTAAGGGTTATAATCTCTAAGCGCGGCCGAAGGCCGCCTACGCACAAAGAAGTTCTGCGCAAAAATACTTCCGCCCTTCTTTTCCGGCAACACAGAAAGGAGAGTTCTACTTAGTAAGGGTTATAATCCCTAAGCGCGGCCGAAGACCGCCTACGCATAAAGAAGTTCTGCGCAAAAATACTTCCGGCCCCCTTTTCCGGCAACACAGAAAGGCGAATTCTACTTAGTAAGGGTTATAATCCCTAAGCGCGGCCGAAGGCCGCCTACTCAGAAAGAAGTTCGTTTTCATGTATGCACTATTTCGGTTTTTGTCATATGCATTACTTCGGTTTTGAGTCGAAACTGTGCATGTATGCATTACTTCGCTTTTTGTCATATGCATTATTTCGGTTTTGAACCGAAACTGTGCATGTATGCATTACTTCGTTTTTCTCATATGTGTTATTTCGGTTTTAAACGAAAGTGTGCATGTATGCATTATTTCGGGTTTTTCATATGCATTATTTCGGTTTTCAACCGAAACTGTGCATAAATGCATTATTTCGGTTTTCCTAATATGCATTATTGCGATTTTCAACCGAAACTGTGCATATATGCATTATTTCGGTTTTTTTCATATGCATTATTTCGGTTTTCAACCGAAACTGTGCATATATGCATTATTTCGGTTTTTTTCGTATGCATTATTTCGGTTTTTTTCATATGCATTATTTCGTATGCACAGTTTCCATATGCACAATTTCAGCGTGCCTTTCAAATACGGTTCCCTCTTTTTTTATAAAGCAATTCCATTTCAGGCTAGTTTTATAAACCAATACTTTGGTACCAATGGGTGACGCTTGAAGTGAGGAGCTTCCGGTGAGCAAATCTCATTTTTGCACAAATGTCAGTTACGCGGTTTTGCAGATCGACGATACGTATATAAATTCATATGAGGTATGTTGAAAATAGGTATAAAGTGGGGGAGAAATATTTCAAAGCTTCAGCTCCCTGCAAGGACATGTGTGTGTCCAGGGAGAAATTATTTCATCAGAATTCCAAAGGATCGCTTTTAGGGATGTTAATTTTTCGGCTTTTTCCGATCCCGGGATTTTCGGGATGGCGTTGGCCCAATCCCGGGATCCCGAGATTAGTCCCGAGTTTTAGATATTCATTACTTTTCAACAACTTGAATCGAAAAAGTTGCTTCTATATTGTTTGAGAAGCTCTAACATTAAATAAATAATAATAAATGGGTTTGAAACCTACTTTTTTATTTAAAGTGGCGTTTTTATTTTGTCTCTCTGACCGCAGGATTTATTTTGAAGGAGTTTGTAATTTCAAAGATTTGATTAAATTGTTAAAAAAATTCAATGCTATGTAGAATCAAAATATGGGTAACAAATGCAATAGGAAATTTCTTCAGAATTTAAAAAATTAAAATTTTTTGGATTCACATGGACGAATAGGTAATTTTGAAGCTGACAAAGTTAGAAGAACGAAACTCGAGGATGTTATCGAGTTTATATAAGCCCTTAACATATAATTTTTTCAAAAACAAATATTGCGAAATTTCAAGGATACTTCTAGTCCTTCTGCACCAGAAACTTGAATCTGTTTAAATTCTACAGGATTTCCTACTTAATTTTATACCCATACTTCTTCTCTAAGCACATTTCTCTAAATTTTTCAATCATTTTTAAATTACTGACGTCAGAGTGAAAAACTAAAAACGCAATTTTACTATATTTGGCCCATTGATATTTGTGTTTAAAATTTACTATCGCGCGGTGTTATATGTATAATGAACTATACATTTATAAAAAAAAATATTAATTATTAAATAAAAAACGAAATATAGCCAATACTGGTCAAGAAAAGGAGTTTCTATTATTGCCATTAGTGCAAATTACAAATCCCGAAAATACCGCTATTACTTGCCAAGAATCCCGGGATTTTCGAGCCCATAAAAAGTCCGGGATCCCGGGATTAACATTCCTAGTCGCTTTAGTTGGTCAAGTGTTGAGAAAAAAGCAAAGTATATAATGCATATGAATGTTTTCTATGCTCTTTGACGGTGGCCATATTTCATTTACCTCTACGTATCGAATAATTCGGGATATTTGCTCTTCGCGGCTGGAATATGGAGTTGTATCATTCTAAAGAAATGCTACAGTATATTGTGTCTTAATTACTGATGTGATTGACTTCCTAACTATATCTCCCAACTGCATTCTTTTATTTCTTTTTGGATGCCATGAGAAAACGATATCCCGGATTTGCGCATATCGTTTCTACATGCGCTTTTGTAAGTAGATCGAATATACTCAAGTATTCTATGAGGACAAGTAAATTTTCCGGATTAGGATTTTCAGTTTCTGCCAGTTCGAAAGTTATTTTAGGCTTTAAATCATGAGCTAATACATTTATAATGGATAAATTATATATACATATTTGTAATTAATTATAGAGACTGTTTCTGACGGCATCTTAAATAATCTAAGTTATTAAAGTAAAATTTGTCATACAAGTAAGTATATCTAAAAATTAATTGTAAGAGCTGTCTCAAATAAATACATAAAACCGCCCATCGATGAAGGCATTGCCTTGGTAGGCGGTATTTTCTCTAGCTATTATTTTACAAATCTGTTGTTTTAATAACGATTTTACTACTTTTATGCATAAATCTCAATGTCTGGAGTGCAGGGTTACCAAATCTCATTTTTGCCACAACAGCGATTAGGCGGTTTTGCAACTGTTCGATGGGCGGTTTTGCAAAAACATCGACGATATATAAGAATAGTTTTTTATTTGATTGTTAAAACAGTTGTGATCGCGGGAGATCGGGCTATTCTGCACTTTGAAGATAATAGCAACAACAAAGTACTTCAAGAATTAAAAAAAGGTAACCACATTCGTCCACCTTCAACAACATCGCGTTTTCGGGCATTTTCAGGGACAGTAGTCGAATGTTCTAGCATTAATTTAAGCCTAAGTGGACGGTATGTGGGGACGAGGAAACACACGTCGAACAAGCCTTTAAGGAGATTCGGGCGCTGAGTTTTATAATGCAACGAAGACAAATGGAGTCCAAGATGCCTGCAAGCTAAAAATGTTGGACGAGCTCCTTGCTTTTTGTTATTTTTGGTCTAATATATACTTGGTGTGGCAAGCTATCTGCCAGTGTGGCACGAAGAGCCAAAAATTTATTATCACGGGCTCTAAAAATCAAGAAATTTATATGAAGAAGTGTATTGCAAA